AACTGTACATGGTGATCCGAGCCATCGAGGAAGATGGATGCGTCGAGATCATCGAAGCGAGTTTTGCTTGGTGGAGGATGGCAACGTTGGTCACTTGATCAAGTGCAGGGTATACAGATATATATATTTATATGGCATTTTCAGTCCCAGTTTGCTAATTAAATTTCCTCTAATTTGATCCTCAATGTCATGGTATCCCTCTCTTTGATAACAGGCGAGAAGCTCTGGGGTTGCATTGGATGTATCCGAGGTGGAAACAAGAATCAAAAGGTTGTTCATGGCACCCCATGCAAAACAACAAGGTCTTGGTGCCTAGATTGGTAGTACTTGTGAACGGCACTGATCAACACCCAACGGACCGAGAGTATTGCCTTATGTGTTGTCGTGCTTGTAGTGACTGCTAGGCTCAATTTGCGTGATCTAAAGAGATGTTTGCGGCTAGTTTCTTAACATAAGGTGAAACCCTTTTTCAATTACTACGTACAGGACATCTTACGAATACACACCAGAAAAGTATTACTCCCTTTTATAGAAAAATACAGTGGCATTTTCAACACAAAATGAATATATTATCAAAATATATTGAATGCTAGATTTAATTAAACTAATTAGGTGTTTTAGATATTGTTAAATTTTTCTATAGCTTTGATCAAATTTTAAAATGTTTGAATAGGAAAAATTTTAAAACAACTTATAATATGAAACGGAGAGAGCACTTCGCAAAAAATAAATATCATCACAATCGCACTTCAAATCTAAGAGTATGTTTAATGATATCAAAAAAAATATTTATTTGCACTTTCCAGTAATTTAGAGTAAAATACATGGACGGTCTTCCAACTTTAGAGTGGGTGTCACTTAGATCCGTAAACTTGAAAATTGTGTATTTAGGTGCACAATCTTGGTTTAATGAACCATAGCATGTCCAAATCTCGTTTGACCAAAGCTAACTGCTGACGTGGCATTCCACGTAGGCAACACATTTACAACCACCCCCTTCGCAGCGAAGAGTGGCGAAAGAATTGCAATTTGCCCCTTCGCACTACAGTACCACCCTAAAACCCACAAAATTTCCAAATCCTTCGCCTCCCTCGTCGCTATTCTGTACTTCACCACCGCCCACTGCTTCCTCGTCACTACCCGTACATCACCGCCTCAGTCACTAACCCAAGCCATTGAGGGAGAAAGCGAGGGCTTTTGCGGCACTGGCCACCAGAGAAAGAGGGAGTCCACCCCATCTCTTCGGCTTGACGACGCCCGGTGACTTGGTGGGCAAGGAAGCGGAATCCGCGGCGCGAACTCGCCGCCCATGGCTAGCGGCGGCCCGAGGCTCCAAGGTGGCCCTCCGCGCTCGACGAGCTCGGTGAGGGAGGCAGTGGCGGTGACGGATGGTTTAGGTGACGGATACGGGTACGGACGAGACAGAGATGGCAGTGGCGGAGGCTCTTCCTATTCCCATCTCCACTGTGCCAGCTAGCTCCGCCTAGTCTGCCCCCATCTCCTCCTTCGTGCCGGCTAGATCCACCTGGGCCACCGCTGTTGAGGCCCTCCCCTTCCACTACCTGCCAGAGCAAGTTGATCGTTGAGGCAAGCACCTTGTGCGTCGGCGGCCAACAGCTGTAGCGAAAAGAAAGGGGAAAGAGAGCTCCCCGTCACTGCTACAGCTTCTTCAAATCGATGAGACAATGTCGGCCTGGAGAAAGAGGCACCGGTGGTGAGGTTTGCCCGACGGCGGAGCGGAGGCTCGGGGCTGGAGCTGATGACAGCGACCGCGAGCTTCCCGCTCCCTCACTTCTCTCCACCTCGAGCTCCATTTGACGGCGACCAGGAGCTCCCCGTCATTGCCACTGCTTCTTTAAATCGACAAGACAACGCCGGCTGTCGAGGAGGCCATCGTCGCTGTTGCTTCTTCAAATCCCGCGGACCCCACCTCATTTTTGGCACGGACCAAGGTGGTGTTAGCTGTAAATGTGTTGCATACGTGGAATGCCACGTCGGTAGTCAGTTATAGTTAAACGAGGTTTGGACCAGATATGGTTCATTAAACAAAGATAGTGGACCTAGATGTGCAATTTTTAAGTTTACGGACCTAACTGACACCCGCTCTCAAGTTTAAGGACCGGTCATATATTTTATTTGGTAATTTATGTCAAACTACCATTTGTAGGTAGGTAAAAAGACAACTTTGCTCTTGTGTGCATTCTTCGCAATTTCTATGCCTAGCTTATTATGCGCTGAAGGTAAATACTACTCGCTTCGTATTTTAATATATGACGTCGTTAACTTTTAAGATACGTTTGAGCATTTGTTTAATTAAAAAAATGTAATTGTCATTTTATTTTATTATGACTTGATTTTCGTCAAATGATCTTTAAGCATGACCTTTATTTTATAGTTGCACAAAAATTTTGAATAAAATGAATAGTCAAAAGTTTATAAAAAAAGTTAGCGGCATCATATATAATAAAACGGAATTGCTAGAAAACTTCCACAAGTTTTCTGTACCAAAGATTTTCAGATATGTGATCATCTCATCGCCTCGAGATTATGCATGAAGGACAAAAATTGGTAGAAAGAAATTTTCACACATGTCACACGTAAGATTCCGATGCTAACCAATTAAACCATAGTTGAATACAAGTTTTATATAAGTTATATCGTATGCACTTACAGTATAGTTACAATGTAATTACACTTTAATTATACTATAGTTATATCCGAAAGTTTCACTCAAAAAACTTACGGCAGTTTCTTAGATACTCCCGTATTAACAAGCATAGGTAGTGTTTTAATAATCTGGTGTTATGCAAAATCCTTTAAGGGGGTGTTTAGATCCAGGGTCATAAACTTTTGGCGTATCACATTAGATATTATATAGGGTGTCGCATAGGGTGTTCGGGCACTAATAAAAAAAACTAATTATAGAATCCGTCAGTAAACCGTGAGACGAATTTATTAAGCCTAATTAATCTATCTTTAGCAAATGTTTACTGTAGCACCATATTGTCAAATCATGGAGCAATTAGACTCAAAAGATTCGTCTCGCAAATTAGTCGCAATATGTGCAATTAGTTATTTTTTAGTCTATATTTAATACTTCATGCAGGTGTTCAAATGTTCGATGTGACAGTGAAAAATTTTAGGGTGGGATCTAAACAAGGCCTAAATTTAGTACCTAGCATTGCCCGGATTCATATAGATATTAATGAATCTAGACCTCATTAGATTCATTGAATGATATGCGATTGCCTAATGAATCTAGGGAGTATATTGAATGATATTGATTGCCATTGGCTGCTCGTTAGCATATAAACTGAATTGCTAGCTAGATTTGAATTTTACTTTTAGAGTTGATTTTGGATTTTTTTAAAAAAAAATTGGTTTGTTTATTTTTCATCTTAGTTTTTGAACAACTAAGAATAGAAGTATAAAAGTCTTTCCCTAAAACTATATTCGCGTTGCTTCATTTATTTTGGATGCAACTTAACCTTTACCGTAAAAATCTAATCTATAAGTTAGTTATAATTAATTGACAAGCTTTGTTGGTACTAAGAAAATGATACCAAGGAAAAAAAACATTGTCTTTTTACATATATACTACCATATATACACTAATATACAACTACATGTTTGGTTAGGTGCCACACATTGCTATACCACACATTAGACATGCCACAAATTATTAGCTTAACGTTTGGTTGCTTGTTTTTTTTTTGGTAAGTCACACTTTCTTGTTACATGGATCTACATGTCATATACTTATTTTTTAGCCAAACATTACCACACTTGTGGCCAACAAATTATTGACCACACTTTGTTTGTTATGACATTCCTATGGCAAATTGAGTTGTGACAATGTTAGGCAACAACCAAACATACCCTAAATAAAGAATAAAGTTTGAGAAAGAGGGATATAAGAGCGAGAGCCAATTCCACAAGGGCAAATAAGGGCCCTATCATATCATCTTTCAAGGGCAAATAAATATTTCTCCGATAAGTATGGAAAGATAATGTCAGTCATGAATGGATCTATCGGCTAGAAAAGCAGGGCACATGACAAATCAAATCATGAACCAAACGCTAGCCTTAGATGATCAGGCTGTCGTCGCAAAGTATGACAAAGTTTAGCGCTAAACCAAACACGGCCCACAGCCCCTAAATAAGGGATTTTTATTTTTTTATTTTATTTATTAAAATATTTTACAAAAAATAATTTTCTATTTGAAAATTTTACAAAACTAGTCTCACATCATTCTGGGAAGACGATTTTACCAACGTGGCAGACAGCAAGCCACCAAGGGAGGGCCATTTTTGTAAGCGGCTCCCTTCCCACCCTCCCATAGGGCGTTTTTTTACTGTGCAGGGGTTGGGGGTGATGCAAAAGAGGGCGGCTAACATTTTGCAGGCAGCCCCCTACACTGTTGAAAAACATTCTCTAGGAAGGTGGGAAGGGAGTCGCTTGCAAAAAAAAAAACCATCCTTGCTTCCCTTTAAGCAGACGGTCGCTTGTACAGTACAAAATAGGGAGGGCGGCAAGGGGCTACATGCAAAAATGCCAGGCCGCCCTCGCATTCCTTTTGCAAGCGGGCCCCCTATACCCAAAAATCACCCTCTAGAAGGGCGGTAAGGGGGCCACTTGCAAAATTCTGACACTCTCGATGGCCTGGCGTTAGGCGAGGGCCAACAACCGTCTGCCATGTCAGCAAAATCGCTATCTAGGAGGGCAATTTTTAAAAATCACCCTCCTAGAGGGCGATGGGCGACTAGTTATGTAATTTTTTTAAATAGAAAGTTATTTTTCAAAATATTTTAATAAATAAAATTAAAAATAAAAAAAATCCTAAATAAGGTTCTCTCTCTCTTTCTCTGGACACGCGCAGCTGACTCTATGTGTGCATTTGTGTTATCCGCATCTACAAAAGAAAACAATTAGAGCTTGTTCGGTTAATCTCACCATGGGATTAACTGAACAAGAATTAATGGATAATTGGAAAACAGTGTGAACTCCGTGATGCCGCCTGACTTTTACTAGCACCAAATGTACAAGTGTCCCCAAAAGCATGGTTTTAAGAGCGATGACAGTATCCAACTCCAAAAGTTGTGCCTCCACTCCACCGACGGCTATACCCATCAGAACTTCAATTCAGAATGCTTTACAAGCAGAAATTTGGGCAGGCAGGTGAGAGCTATTCTGATGATTCTCCCCTTCCTCATGGGTTTACAAGCAGATCCTGCAGCTGTCAACTTGGCAGCTCAGAGCTTGTAGGAGCAGTTTGTCAAATTCGACCATTCTCTTGTAGCCCAGCCTAAGAACTAACCAAGAACCAAAATTATCCCCAAGAGCCCAGCGGATAACCCGGCTTTCTACCTAAACTATACACGGCAGTATCGCATCTTTGCAGACCTACCTACCATAGTACCCAGTACAGTACCTTCCAAGTTTCCTTCTCTTGTGGCATAACCGGAGAAGACAATTGAGAGCTATGTTTTCCGGATGCACACCAACCTTCCACATTCCAAGGCCAGCTCCCATGGCAGCCGCCTGCAAACTATGAGGTGGCGACGCCAACCGCATTCCGAGGGTGGTCTGGTACTGCTGGCTCGGTTGACAAGACTTCAACAGGGTGCTCCGCTGTTGCTGACACTGGTGTTGTTGGATCTCTCATGTGGTTGTTGTCTTTAGCTTCCTCAAACAACCGAAGAAGCAGAGCTTGCATTTCCTTTCGCAGTGCAGAAGCCTCTTCACGTTGGAACCACCCTTCGCCAAACTAACAAGGGAAAATAGAAAAATAAAAAAGAAAAGAGAGATAAGGGCAGCTATAAGTATCCGTGCAGGCAGTAGAACACCATCATATAAAATGGTGAAAACTCAACTAATGGTGACTCACCATATTAGATGAGTCCTTGTTGTTAAGCCTTTCAGGTGCTTCCTCGATAAAGCGTCGCATATAGTACAGAACAAAGACACCACAATCGTATTCATTGTCCTGCTGTGGAACCTGGCAACAAAAGGAAGAAGAATGCAAGGATAATTAAAGGAACAAAATACCAAGAACAAACAAACCAGCCAGAATCAAGATGTTCTGAACAATACTAATGGAGAAATTCCATCATATGCCATTGATGAAGCACCAGTTCTATGATTTGCCACTGACAAAGTCCAATAGTTTCCTTTGTATATATCATCATCATTAATCAACCACCTATAGATAGAATAAAATGACAATTTTGCCTCTAGGATACCATGTGCTGATGTGCACTATACTATTATCACAAAAGTAATTTTGATGTTACTACCTACTTGGTTCTCTTTCGTTTTTAAAAGGCAAAATTGGTTCCATGCCATCGAAAGTTCTCCACTTTTGGTTTATACCATCGAAAGTTCTCGTTGCACTTTAATACCATCCAAAGTTTACCACGTTACTCGTTATACCACTTCCGTCCACTTTGCTGAATCTCCCGTTAAGCAGGACATCTTTGCCCTTGTGTCATGTTCATAGCCCCGATGCATCATATCAGATCGAAAGCAGATATTTCCCCTTCGTCCAGCATAGCTGCCGCCCCCGTCGCATTGTCCCGCAGCCAACCCCGGTCGTAGCTGGTGTCAGATGACCGGTCCTGTTGCTTCCGTGCCCCTATTCCACCCGCGTGTGCAGCTCACTCGGCATGCTCCTCCGACCAGGAGCGGCACGGCGCTGCGCTCGATGGACGACGGTGGCCGCCGCACACGACGAGCAGTGTCGGGCGCTCTGGAGATAGCCACCACATTCTGTCACTGCAATTTTTGCTTTATCTACGAATGCAACCACATGGCTCTGGCTCTCCAGGAGCGGTTGGAATATCTTGTTGTTGGTTAAGGTTGCTAACCATGGCTGCTGCCTCCTTATGCATGCCGAATATGCTAGCTTGACTAATTGCCTCCTTATGCGCATCGATGGTAGCGTGGAGCATGCGAATGCGAGATGAACAGGGAAGCCGTGTCTCACAATGCTCAAGCGATGCGTTCAGATTGGCTCGAGAGAAAGAACAAGAGATTGGGCAGGATTAGATGGGTAAAGGAAGGGTAGTATAGACATATCCCCTTTGCCTTTCAGCAAAATGTGGAAGAGAACAAAAATAAAATAATAAAGCTCTAACAGAAGTGAACGGTTGTGATATGAAAAGGTAACGGGGAAACTTTGAATGGTATTAAAGTGCACCGAGATCTTTTGATGGTATAAACCAAAAGTCGAGAACTTTCGATGGCATGGAACCAATCTAACCTTTTTAAAATTCTAGTGTACAATACTCTGCTCTGCCTTTCACCCATAAAGAAAATGAGGGTATTTCAGTCTCTGAGAACAATAGGTTCACTACTTGACTTGATGGAGTTTTACCAGAATTTGACTAACAGTGATGACATAAGAAACAAAGGAAGTCAACGAATGGCATATACTCCATCCGTTTCTAACTATAATGGATTCTGGCAGTCTGGCTATGAATCTGGGCATTTTCATGTCCAGATTTATGACTAGAATCCCTTACACTTAGGGATAGGAGGTAGTGATAGAGTTGTACTTCATCAATGGCATGATGTAGAATTGGTCAGCAGAATATTATGGATTTTCTAATTTTTATAAGAAAACAGTACTTCCGTTTCTACAAATGTAACCCTAATTTATTGTTGGTAATGTATGTCCCAAATATCCTAGTCATTGCCTACCTGTACTGTACAACTGTAAGACTGCTCCAGATTGGATGCAGTCTATTCGCACATTAGAAAAAGCATGCAATCCCACCAACCCTGCTTATATGTAGTTCGCTCAACCTAAGGGGCATGTGGGTTATATGTAGTTCGCTCACAACCTAAACATGATAGACACCCATTGTCGCCATGCCCCTACATTGTCAAACTTTGAGTCTTTGACAGTTTACGGCCTGTACATTTTGAATTGGTTGAACTTAACACCTTCAGTCTCGAAGAAATTGCTCACTTAGAGTAGAAAGGACAAATTGTCATGGAAAGTTGCAAATGATCGTCTTAGCAGTACCTTATACCAAAATATTTATCCTTACATTGCTAATAAAATAAAAAAAATCTTGATGTAGGAGATCTTAAATTTAACAGTTTTCAGTAACATCACAGTAAATAATACAAACATGGGTCTGATGCAAGATACATGCATGGCTAAATAATGGAGAAGTAGACTATTGGAAATTTCAACTATATAGGTAGTATACGTTATCTTTTAAAAGATAAGAAGCTGCACACATTTGCAATTGCATTTGGAGGGAGGAAACACTTACTGTAACTGCTTTCTTCTTAATTTTCCGAGGAAGGTTCTTCCACACTGATTCATGTAGATGACAATCTTCTAAAGAACCAGTTTTATTCAGGTAGTTCCATTCTTCTTTAAGGAATCTGTAAACAACTTCAAGGTGTAAGAAAGCACTAAAAATAATCTAGCTTAAACTGAGTATCAAACAATTTCATACCCATATAAGCAGGAGGAATAAAAAGGCATGCACCAAATAACAGTATACAGATACCAGAAGCTAAGCTTCTACCAATTGCAGAAGTGCAGTTATTGGGAAGTTGGGGAACTCAATTATGAAAAAAGAAAAAAGAACATGTTGAAAAAATGTTGGCCTTTATCACATGTATTTGTGTACTTAAGAGAAAAAAGGTGGTACACCAAATAACACACAACATACAAATTCTCAGAAGTTTTTTGGACCACTTGCCTCTCAACGGTGCTGAAAATAAATCTGCTGCTATGAAACTTCAGTGAATCCAAATGAAATATGGTGGGCCCTGATTGGTCTTCCTTTGCAGGCATACATATAATGACCAAGCTCCAGTGTGCGCTGACCAATACAATACAATATACTGTAAGGAATAGCCGAATAGGTAGCGTTGCATAGATAGGTTAAGATATGCATGTGATCAGCTCAGGTCCCAACTCAGGAGTTGGGACTTGGGACCTGAGCTCATGAGTTGGTAACAAATAATTGTTGTATTCCTGATGACAACAAAAAGAAGGCAACAAAATTGCTTACTCTGCATGCACAGGAATTATTATGTATGCCTTTTTAAATATATCTACACCTTTCCACCATCTTCTCAGATTCAAGAAATAAGCATCATTGTCCACCTTCAGAGTATGAATACAAAAAAAATTAAAGGAATAACCATACAAAATAAACATCACATGGATTTTTTTATAAAAAAATCAAAATGGTGAACTAACATCAATTTTTCATTTATGAAAAAGTAATAAAAAAAATAGGTACTACCTCCGTCCCAGAATAGGTTCACTTTTATACAAGAATCTGGATATAGGCTATGTCTAGATTCGTGTAGAAAAGTGGAGTTATTTTGGGACGGAGAGAGTATTAGCTAACAGTAGCATGAAATTAAACATAATTTATGCATGATACATGTAGCCAGCAGTTGCTACATTAGGACAAAGAAAAAGGTGTTTATGGCTTGGGACTGAGGGCTAAAAATTGGTTAGATGGAGGCGTAGTTACCCTCTAGCTTGTAGGAGATTCAATCCTTTGTGATACGACTGATAAACCAGCTAAGTGGACATTAGTCAAGAGTTTATCTCTTACGTAACTTAGAGAAGCTAAACTAGCTCCCTCATACAGATGGTCTACCAACTCCAAACCAAATCTAAGAGGCAACAATTGATTGGGAACTAGACAACCTTATGCATAACGACTTATGCCAAACTAGCTACTCTTAGTGAATTATCTGAATCCTAGCCAGTTGTACCTTATGAATTGACAAGCTAGCTGCAACCAAAATTACAAGTGCTACCACTGCTGCTTTGTCTACATAACTGCTGTCCACAAGGCATGAACTCCATAACAACAATTACGAACTAAATACCTAAAACACCAGTAAGATTGAATAGAACATATACATATATGGTTAGTCTTGTACTCGTTTCTCTTGTCCATGTTGAATTATAGCTATTCATCTTTCTAGGTGCAAAATTCAAGATCTAATATGAAAGATGAACTAGAATACCCCGCAAAAAAAAATAGAAAAGGAACAAGAAAAGATAGCAAATCTATCAATCACATTATAGCATATTATTTTTTTAAGAAATAAAGTAAATGTTAAGAATCTAATATAGGAAAAAACCTTTGATGTCAAGGCTTCAAGTTTGCTGAAGAAGTATGTATTGAAAATATGATACTTGCCTCCAAGCCTACTTGTCGATGGCATTTGTCCCATTAGGTACCTAGATGGATTTCATTTTATGATTTTGTTAATAAAAAAAGAGACAGAAGTTCATTTTTAACACATGCAAGACAACAAAAGTATAAATAATCAAGTGTTAATAACACCAACAGATACCAAAAGATGTTGCTGAGATATATTTTGCATCACCATTACACAAAGGCAATAGAGCACGCAAAACAAATGCTAACATCTGAAACGTGGTCTATGGATTGCTATCGAGCTCCAATGTCCATTAAAGGCAATTCAAGCCTAAAGGACAAGATCACTTATTTCTTGTTTAAATGAGAAATTTATGTTGGCATCTACAACAGGAGTTTCATATTTTTTGTTTGCTTCATTGTGTCTGTTCAAATCATTGAATGGATAATGTTCAAATGCTTATTGATTAATTAGTTGAAGGTGTAAAGCCAGGATAAAGTGGGGGGCATACAACAGTAGCTCTACACTGGTGTGTCACTCCATCTCAAATATATAGCATGCATGATGTGAACAGAACATGAACCATCAAGAGGCAATGACAACGTGACAAGAGGCAATGACGCACTGTCTGAAAGCCTAGATTTTTTTTTAGAACATGCAGAAGATCTGTGTATCATTTCATTAAGATAGAGAAGAAAAGGTGTAAGGTGTTAGAGAAAGACTGTCTGAAAGCCTAGATGATGCCATAAAACTAGCATGCAGCAGGATTTATAGGGAAAATGCAAAAGAAGTAAAAAGGGAAATACAACTTGAGAAATCAACCTGACCCAGCTGTTGCATGAATACAGCAACGACAATGGTGAACAAAAACAGCAGTTGTGGCAACACGGCAGCAGGCTCTCAATCTGCCTCCCTTCCATTTTAATTTGTTGCTCAATGTTTTAGGAGACAGCCAGTCAGTCATCTTGACCACACCGGACAATCTCAGTGCCTAACTATTGCCTAAATGACACCCAGATATCACCTTGATCACCATGTTTTACATATCAACATGAAAAATGTGAAAATAGGCTGCTAGAATGAGCCATGGATCTTTTTATGGTCTATGTTAATGAAGTGATCTTTATTATTAATTGTTTTCCGTGATGAATACATATTTTTCTCCTAAAACAATGCCCTTGTTTCATGAAACTATGAGTCTATGATGCACATCCTTCTCCACAAACACTTACATAATGTAGAAGTTCAGTATAGGTGAGGACAACAATGATTCAGGCTCAAGACACTTCATGTCAGAATAAGAAAGCTCAATAGAATTAGGGGTGTCCCTGCAGAGAACAGAAAAACAAAATTAACCATCAACTGTATATAAAACAGAGTAAGCTCAAATAATTATGTTAGTTCAAAGACCAACCATGAAGGATAGTGTATCTTCATTGCATCACTGTAGAAGTGCCAGCATTAGTCAACAGTAGTGAAAAAATCACAGAAAAAATACTAGACGTAAAATATAATAAGTAAATTGCACTTTCGGTACACAAACTTGCACAGTGGGTGTAAGTAGGTACAGCAACTTGCAAATTGTTCACTTCAGTGCAACAACTTGCCTAGCCCGTGCAAACCCAGGACAAAACAATCCACAGAAGCAAAAATGATTTGATGTGGCACTCATTGATGACGTGTAGGCCTGTAGTACGGACATATCTCGACCAAGGCTCACCAATAGTTAACCGTTGTGTAATGAATATGGGAGAACTTTTATGTTGTTGCTTATAAGATGTTGATGGGCAAGGAGCAGAATTGCAGTAGCTTTGTGCAACAATGTAGTAGAAGGATTAGATTACTGTGACGGCCTCTATACATTGTTTTAGCAGTTATTTACGGTGGTTCAAAACTTCAAATACTGAAGAATTAAAATCAAGCAAATAGCTTTGATACTGGTTCAATGTCAGAACACAATAGCATCCAAGGGATTTTGTTTTCCTGCTTGCTCTAATTCAGTTTGCTATAGTGCAGAACACAAGCAAGTGGTTCAATATCTGAATTAAGTAGCTTTAGTCTAGCCTGGAACTTATGTGTGTACTGCAGGCCTATATGTATCATCAATGAGGGCCACCTCAGATTAGTTTCCGCTTGCGTGGACTTTTGTCCCAGGTTTGCACAGACTAAGCAAGTTGTTGCACCAGAGCAAACGATTTGCAGGTTGTTATACCTATTTGCAACCACCACACAAGTTTGTGCACAAACTCACTTAGACACCGACCAACGACATAGGTTAAGATGGTATACACATATGGAAGAACACAAGTGGCCAAATGACAAATCATAAACTCATTTACCATGCAGAGGATGTTTTTTCTGCAGAGTCTGAAATGCAAGTATCTCCATCGAGTAGAACCACCTCTTCAACCACCTGAATAGAAATATCAGAATAAGCTTTGTAAAAAGAGTAACCTAAAGCAAACTAACTAGCATAGATAGTTCTAGAAGCTGTGATGAGTACATCTATAATAACAGGTACTGTGCAGTTTATCAATAACCCAACAAGAGGCAAATTAATTTCACTTTCATTCTGTGGATCGTTGCAATTACTGTATGGGACAGGGAACTGAAAACTGATCATAAACTACCGAAGAATCAAAAGCTGCCCAGGTTTTTTCTATTTTCCTGGTACAGTCCATAAAAAAACAACCCCCCACCCCCACATTCCCATATAAATCACAATGAAGGGATGAAATATGCATCAAAAATCAAAACTTCCCATCTATTAGTCATACTGGGTTCACAAAATATGTTTTTAATGGGTATATCTGCCGACCTGAAGTTTCATTTTAAATTGTACAAAAGCATTATGTACTCATGTTACTAATACCAATATGCCATAAAATTTTGGATATTTTGATATGTAAGAAATTTTCATGCCATCTTCAATGCAGACGGCTGAAGTGGGTATACCCCTTATCAGCAGTAGCAAATCGCAATTCACATGTTCGATGCGTAGACAAATATACTCAATAGTTGTCTTATGTTCTAACCGTAGGGATGAAAACAAGATCAAAGGTGATCTTACCATATTATATCATTTTTACATATCAGGAGTTGGATATAAATATGAATTAGGATAGTTATAATTAGATCAGATAAGAATACAATTTATGAATATTTAACCAGATATTAGACAGTGTAAAGTTCAGAGACAAATAACATCACAAATGAAACATTCAGCACACCTTTTATATCTCTACTAACAGTATAGCTATGGAATTGGAATCCATCATGGTTTGGGTGTAACAATTGGTGGAAAGATATTTATAAACTATAAAACATTAATGCCTTTATAAGCAGCAAAGTCAATATGTGCAAGATTTAAAAACCCAGAAAATTTTGTTGTTTGTTAAGAAAAATAAGAGCAAAAAAACGTTCACACCACAGAACAAACTCAAAATGCCCCATATGCATGAACATGGGGGAGAATTAGAGATCCCATGCCACCACTCCTCAACTAAGAGACCGAACCCTTGGGACCTTCTTCAACCCCAGGATGTGATGAGTCGACATCGAGGTGCCAAACAACTCCGTCGATAAGAGCTCTTGGGAGTCATCAGCCTGTTATCCCCGGCGTACCTTTGATCCGTTGAGCGAGAGCCCTTCCACACGGGACTCCCGGATCACTATGGCCGACTTTCGTCTCTGTTCGACCACCCCTCCTGCCTTTTTGTTTACATAATCCCCCGAACCCCTTGTTGCCACAAGGTTCAAAAAAAGGCTTTTAATAGTACAATCCTAGGACTCTATTGTTACCATAGAACCATGTTGTACAGGGTCCATCTTGATTCTAATTGGAGCAGAATCCTTATTCTAATCGTAGTTACTTAGAAAATAACCGGTTTTCTATGTCTTTCCTTCTAAATGTCACATATTACAAATAAATTCCAATTTTAGTAATGCATAGTTGCATACTAGAAATCAGCACCAATGTTATAACAAAAAAAGGTATCTAATCAGTTTATATGGAAATAATATTAATAGATTCTCAAAAGGAATACATTTTGTAGTAACATATCTTATAGTTTTTACCAGCATATTACTACTGAAATTAGTACACAAAGCTGTAGATTAGAAACTATGGTAACATCTGAAATGGCATGTATTTGTGAAATGAAGGAATGCGAAAATGGTCAAAGTATAAAAAACTCAATGAGCATGCATGAAAAATAACAATTCACTTGACACGAAGATAAAACACAGCGTGTACAATCATCTAATCAACAATTTATCATCAAGCTTGGTAATAACAGAATCAACCACACATCAGCAAACGGAACTTCACAAATTTATCACAATTCAGTTAAAAGGAGGAGCCTTTAGGGCAGTAAGGTTCATTCTTTGATAGTGAGCGAGAAGATGATAATATCATTGCAAATAAATATTTCCTTTTTCCCAGTTAGAAAATATAATTAATCTTTCCATGTTATTGACCACCATAACAGATAGTCAAAAAACAAATCAACTAATTTATGTACTGGCAATAATAGGGGTGGTGGACCTCTGCCAACTGTATTACTAGAACTTTAGTATTCAACATAAAAATTACTACTAGTATACCATGTCACGATGTTTGGAAAGGAAAATGTACATACTAACCTTTCTTGATCGCAATCGCATTGAAAAGGTAGGTGAAAATTCTCCATTCCTAGTAGAGGACAGATAACATAATTCAATACAATAACTAATAAGTTACAGATTAACAAAACATATTCATTGATCAATACATATATGCAGTTACAAGTTTAGAACTGGTGAGATATACAACAATCTAACAGTCTAACAGATGCACAAGACATGGTATATATAATAGCAGTATTGCTATTTGTTTGTCAACTGATTTGCTTTATCTAACAGTCACAATGCTTAGCCTAAATTTGCACCATATAAAAAGTACTACCACCGTTTTTTTAATATAATTTTGTGCAAATATAAAAAAACTGACGACATGCTTAAAGAACATTTGATGATAAATCAAGTCACATTAAAATAAATGATAATTACATATTTTTTTGAATAAGATAAATGGTCAAACGTATCTAAAAAAAGTCAACGGCGTCATATATTAAAAAATGGAGGGAGTACAACTTTTATATAAATCATTGCAACTGTAAGATTGCTTCTTTTTTTTCTATGTTTTGCATTGTCTTGGATGCGTTTGATTCAATTAAAAAATCAGTGTTTGATGGAAACCTACATCTCCATGCTTCATAATTCTAAATTGTAAAAAAATAAGTTATCTAAACGAATGTTTTGCATTTCCCTTGATGCTTTAATATCTATAAGGTATGAACACCAAGAATTTTGATAGGGTTATGCATCTCATGAAATGATGCATGATTTTAGAACAAGTTAACTGTTAACATTCCCATAACAAAGAAAATGGATGTTCGGCTTGAGACTCTGCAATACAAGAGTTTGTGTATACTAACCTTTTCCTAGAAGTGTGGGCATCTTTGCATATCCTACTGTAGCCATTATCCTTGCCATCATCAGCAGCATCTATATTTTCCATATAAGTTGACCTATCAACATATGATGCCTTTTGAGACGTAGAGGGTTTACACTTACAGGAATCTTCCTCTTCACACAAGATCCCCTCATTATCTGTTGAAGTTTTTGGGTCGCCAATGCATGCACTTGTTTCCAAATGAGATACATCAACGCCTGCCTAATGTAAAGGAAATAAAACACTTGCACAAAATACTGGGTTTATATAACAAAGATCAAAATAGTTACCTCTTCATCTATCCCAAAGGAGGACCGAAAATCTGATATGGTTACTGCTTGTTGTTTAACTGACATTAATAAAACCAACAGGTTGGCATGGAATAAAATTCAGATAGAATAGTAACCAATTGTAGATATCACTATAAAAGAAACACATGGTAAAAAAATGGCCAACTATTATGAAACAAAGAAATATGATCTGAAAACTAGCAAGGTTTTTGTCTGCCCAATTGATATAGTAGCAGACTAGCAGTAGCTTGCTCATATAATCTCGAATTGTGTGCTAATATACTCTTGGAGTAAAATTACTAGAAAGTGGTGATTTCTTCTTTTAACAGATACATGTTCATCGTGACCTGTTACTGAGCATCACACAATTTTGAAACTAATTAATTCCTTTGAAAAGAGCTTTGGGCATCAGCTAATTCTGGATTTTATCAACATTTTACTCAACAAATGGGAAGTCACATGACATAGGAGTGGCTCACCTTAGATCATCAAATATTGAAGAAAAATGTGAACCAACAGCTCAAATCAGGAACTAACTGTAGTAAAATTGTATTACTCTTCCACATTATTTTATTATATGTATCATTTGAACTAAGAAAACCTATACTGCATTTTCATGCATGTAAATCTACTACAAAGCAAAGCGTTTAAGGTATGAAGAATGAAATAGACAGCTTGCCCATATCTTAAGAGAGGACAGAAGCAAAGGACATATTAAGTTATCTTCAGTAAGTTACAGCATCTATCACACAACACTGGCACCGCAGTGAGTAACAAGCGTTCAATAGAACAGCAAGCAAATCAATACTTGAAGTCATGAACGAGAACACGTGTACTATAAGTCCCAGTCATAAATGATCCATGCTACCAACCATAAATCAACCAATATCTTAACACAAATCAATCCCATACCTGATGATTCTGCACATCCCGATTGAACTACCCTTGCGCATCTGTCATCATCCTGCAAGAGAACATACGATGATCAGTCTTACAAAGACCTTATCCACCCTTAATAACTAATGTATATGTAAATAGCTGTAGCATTTAACGGATTGGTTGCCTAACATCTACTTCATATATTGTGTGAGGCGCTCTTTTGTTACCTATTTTAGAGATCAGACACAAGAAAATTCACAATATCAACTTATCAAGTGATTAGCATTGGCCAGCATTCCCTTAGAATATAGGAGTACATTGATAACATAATATCATTTTCTCCAGTAATCACCATCCTCACACCAAAGATAACAAGAGCCTTACAGTACATTGAAGTTGTCAACACTGGATTATTACAGTTGGGTATGCGCGGCAGGCATATCATCGAACAGAAGCATAACAAAAATCAAGATTCCCCATCCCTTCAATCATGCCCTAATTGAAGCGCACCGGGCAAGGATTGAATCTTTAATCCCCTCACCGCACACCAAGAAAATAACTTACAGCATAAAAAAAAAAGAAGAGAAGAAGAATCTCACCGTTGCTGCCTTACGGCGATCAATCTCGCGGACGATGGCGTCTAGCAAGCGGCGAAACTTGGCCCCGCGGTCCTTGAGCCTTCGCTCGATACCCCCACTGAGCTCCCCCTGAATGCGCCGCGACTTCTCCAGCAGCTCCACGTCTGAGAACCTGCGAAGCTCGGTGTCATCTCCGACGCCGTCGGCCCCGTCCTCGCCGCCGGCCATAGCATTCACGGCGGCCAGGAGCAGGAGGCGGCGCGGATTCCCCTACTCTACCCCCTACGCGGAGGAGAGGAGAGGAGAGAGGAACACAAGGAGCAGGAACGCGTGCAGTGCTGCAGCGGAGGCCAGCCGGCCTGATGGCCTAGTTAGGGTGGCCGTTCGGTCTACACCCACAATTCCGGTTTATCCGGTTTTTCTAAAAAAAATCGTTCTTTGTAAAAAAGTTCGGCCGGAGGGGGGAATGCCTACGACGGGAGACGCCTCGATGGTAGGGATGCAAACGGGCTGACCGCCTGACCGGTGAGCCCATCTATAGGTTAAATCAGTGATAGTAAATTTATAATCCATAGGTTTTTGTATTATAGTCTGAATTGCCGTAACTAGAGATGTAAATGGGTTGACCCATAAACCCATTTATATGATAAATTAATAAGGAAATAAGTTCACTTTATGACCCTCAAAAATGATCGAAATCTAATCCATGACCCTAAATCGCAAAACCGGATATCTTCACCCCCAAACTATTGAAACCGGTGTAATTTGACTCCCTTGGTGGTTTTGGAGGATGGTTTCGCTGACGTGGCGGTGTTTACCTAGTCTGTGTGCTGACATGGCGCTGAGGTGGAATTTCAATTAAAAACAGATATGTGGGACCCATTTGCCATTCACACACACAAAATTGTGGGGCCTACCACATGTGGGCCCCACATGTCATCTCTCCCCTTTCTTCTTCCTCCCGGACCTCCCCTCCTCCTGATGTGACCATGGCTACTATGGATACGACCATTGCTCACATCATGAATCAACAAGAAGACATCAAGATCAAGTCCTCCATGTGCTGCAATCTGATTCGGCCACGTGTTACATTGCTGACTTCAAACGGCCGCCAAATCTACATACGTGCTCTGTTTTGGGCCCGTGAGTACTTGATGAAAAGCTCTCGAAGTCCTCCTTACAACGGATCCAGCCTCATCTCGGAATTCTATCTCGTTTGGCCGCAATCACAGAAGCAAGGTGTTGCGTCACCTGTATTGGGCCAATGGGCTTGTAACTTTGTTTGGGACCCTGGCCCATGTGGGGCCCATGTGGGGTGCGCCCCAATCTGGTGGAGCACGACCTTTGGACCCTCTTGGTCGTGCTCCCACCTCTATAAATATTTAGGTACCCCTTCAGGGTTTCCTGGGGTTTTGATAGATTAAAGTTTAGCCATTGCTACTTGCTTGTAGCGCGCGTGTCGGCTAGACCGTCCGTCTGCTTGTTCTTCGAAACCCCAACTTATCATTCGTATTTAACTCCTATTTGCAATTCAGATTGCTTTTATCTTGTTCTTGCTTGTTTCTTCGATTTGCTTGCAGGAATAAGGTTGATTTGCACCGGCAAGATCAACAACCCACAGAGAGGTGTATCGATCGCTAAGGCGCAACGCAACGTCTTGCACGGTTGTAGTCGGGTCGTCAACGTTTCTTCCAAATCGTAGTTATCATCAACTCACCGAAAGATCGGGCCAAGAATAGCCTTGAGTGTCGAGAGGAACTCAGGGTTCATCAGGTGGTATCAGAGCTTTCGTTGCTCGGTGAGTTTTTATCTGCCTATAACCAGAAAATAGCCATACAAAAAAATTCGTATCATTTACCTAGCCATATTGTGCCATTGCATTGTTCTTTTCAGTTTTTGCTTTGTTGAATTTTGTATTGTATCGTCACGTCGTGTTGCTAGTCTTAGCGTCTAGTTCGTTTAGAGTTTCGAGTTCTGATCACGTTTTGTACCACAGTCGTCGCTGCCACCGTGTCTCTATTGTTGTCGGGACCTACAAAAACGGAATCGGCTCGCTGCCACGGTTCTGTTTTTGTAGTTTTCAGAATTTTTTATCGGTTAGTTTTCGAGTTGCATTTAGGATTTGCTTGAGTTTCTGGTTTGCCCGTGAATAGATCGGCCTGTGCTTGTTGCCGGTGTAGAGAGGAGGAAGAAGAATTTCCAAATCTGTTTTTGGAAGTATGAGAGTTTAATCTGGAAAGAAATAGTAGATCAGATTGATTGAAATCAGTTTCCCTTTTTCTCTCACCATATCCGGACTCCTAGGTAATGCCGCATCCTTCCTTTCCTCACCCACCACCACCCTGGGTCCGCGACCAGGCCGAGTCCGAGTGTCTCCTCTCGGTCACGGTTTCAATCTATACTGTGATCTTGCATACTGCTTGGTAAAAATTTTTCGAGTGTCGGATTGAAAATCCGTTTGCAAAAACGGAACCTACAGGACAAGAGGATTCCATTTTAGTATAGTTCTAATTTTGGGTTTGAACTTTTACATTTGAGTCCCTGTAAATTTTGTATTTACGTTTGAGTCCCTGTAATCTTACATTGAGGTCCTTAAATCTGTTTTTGTAAAATAAAATCAAAAAAAATAAAGAAAAAAAAGGCAGAAAGGTGCATAAAAAAAGAAAAGAGAAGCCGCACCCAAAAAAAAGAAAAGAAAAGGAAAGGAAAGAAAAAAAAAGAAAGAAGAAAGAAAGAAAAGATAAAATATTGTTATGTTTGAGCTGAACTTCATATATCAGAGTTGTGCATGAGTTGTTCCTAGTGCTATCTTGTGGTATCGTTTGTGTCTAGGCTCGCGTCTCTAGTACGTTCTAGCCTAGAACCAGCACGGTGCTTGACTTTGAACAATTATTCAACTTTGCATTCTTTGATTTGAGCATTTGCTATTCCTTTGCTACATATTTAAGCCTACCCAGAGCTCCACAGATTTGATTGCAGCCGTACAACAGGTGTTTGCCAAGGCATCGATACATCCAACCTCCATTGGGATGCTTGGTTGAGTCGGTGTATGTCACCATTCCACTTGCATTGGTAAGATCTTGTAAGAGCTTGGTTAAAAGCTTGAGTGTGTGCGATTTTTGAGCTGCCACTACCTAGTAGTTAATAGGAACGCGTATATTTTTGTGTATGTTTCTTGTTTTCTACTAACAATGGTAGGGATACGCAAGATAATTGGGGATAGCTGTGCTCAACATCGACATCTTCGTCGAGACATGAGGAGGGATCAACATGACCATTATGAGGTAAGTGATGATGTTCTAGGTAAGATCAAATCTGCACTGCCTTATTTCGAGGGAAACTATGATCCTCGTGCTTACATTAATTGGGAGCTAGCGGTTGATAGTGAATTTCAAAAGCATGTCTTGTCGGAGAAACAAAAGGTTATGTGTGCCTCTAGTGTTTTAATTAAACATGCTTCTAATGATTGGAAACATCTTTGTAGGCATAACAAAATACCACAATCTTGGAAAGACCTGAAACGATATTTCAGAGATGTTTATGTTCCCATGTATTATGCTGATATTGTGTTCAACAAACTGCAATGTTTAAAACAAGATACAAGAACTGTTACTTCATACTATCATGATATGCAAGCTTGTTTATTACGTTGTGGTTTAGATGAATGTGAAGAAGCTAAAGAATTGAGGTTTTTACGTGGGCTAAACAAAGAAATTCAGGACATGCTTGATTGTCAAAGATATACATCTCTTTCTCATTTGTTACAACTTGCTTGCAATGCTGAAAGTAAAATAGAGGAGAGAGACATAAAAGAGCCGCCAATCCCATTGTTCACACTCAAAGTCGAGGCACCTCCATCATCTGAAGAGGACATCAAAGGTAAAGTAAATGGTACTAAAATTAATCATGGTGAGTGCATTGTTAACGAAGTAAATTTGTCCACTTTTCATACTAAAGTAGAGCAACCGTTAGTGGAATCAAATGCTGGAATTCCTTTGTCACAAGTTGATTTACTCGCTGTTCCTTGTGATAAAGAAGAGTTGTGTGATAATGCTTCACTTATATCCATGCCACAACTAATGAATGAACATGCTATTTCTAGTGTTTCTTTGTGCGCTGATTTTAAGCATGTTGTTCACATTGCTAATGAAGTAGAGGAACGCGAATTGCTATCTTCTTTAAATACTTTGGGCTATGTTCAGTTTGATGATTTTTGTGAGCTCGATAATTTGAAGGAGAAATTATTTGCTAAATCTGATTTGTCATGTCCAACTAATGCTATTTTTCATATCTTTGGCGAATATAATGATAGAGGAATATTTTTGGTGCATAGAGTTTACATTTGTTCGGATTTAGAACATCTTGTAGTTCCGGATAAAATATGCAAGCTAGAGAGACATGTTACTGCTAATCATATTGTCTCGAGTTTGTCTTGTTTTGCTTGCAAGAAACAGGTTGTTTTCAGTGGACTGCGCGAAGAGCACCATATGGAAAAACCGAGGACGGTTTTCCGTGAAGAAGGGGAGGATGATGTGACCATGGCTACTATGGATACGACCATTGCTCACATCATGAATCAACAAGAAGACATCAAGATCAAGTCCTCCATGTGCTGCAATCTGATTCGGCCACGTGTTACATTGCTGACTTCAAACGGCCGCCGAATCTGCATACGACTTCCATTTTTGGCCCGTGAGTACTTGATGGAAAGCTCTTGGAGTCCTCTTTCCAATGGATCCAGCCTCATTGCAAAATTCCATCTTATTGAGCCGCAATTGAAGCAACAAGGTGCTACATCACCTATAATGGGCCTATGGGCTTGTAACTTCGTCTGGGACCCCGGCCCAAGTGGGGCCCATGTGGGGTGCACCCCAACCGGGTGGAGCACGACCCTAGGGTCCCCTTAGGTCGTCCTCCCACCTCCTTAAATAGTTAGGTACCCCTTTACAGTTTGTTGGGTTTTGTTTAGATGAAAGTTTAGCCATTGCTACTTCGCTTGCAGCGCGCGTGTCGGCTAGACCGTCCGTCTGCTTGTATTCGAAACCCCAACTTATCGTGTGTATTCATTCCTATTTGCAATTCAGATTGATTTTATCTTGTTCTTGCTTGTTTCTTCGATTTGCTTGCAGGAATAAGGTTGATCTGCACCGGCAAGATCAACAACCCACGGAGAGGTGTATTGATCGCTAAGGCGCAACACTACGTCTCGTACGGTTGTAGTCGGATCGTCAACGTTTCTCCCAAATCGTAGTTATCACAACTCACCTCTCGAAGTCCTCCTTCCAACGGATCCAGCCTCATCTCGGAATTCTATCTCGTTTGGCCGCAATCACAGAAGCAAGGTGTTGCGTC